AAGTGGCAAGGATTACATATAAGTTAATGTAACGCAACTGCCTCTGGCTTTTGGACAGTTTTATTCCTGCCCTCCATAAGGATCAGTTGTATCTTCAGTAAAAATGTGAAAATTACTGTCCTTAGTATAAGAGAGGATTTCTCCCCTTTTGTTTACTGGACTTTATAGTGGCTTATTTGGATAATGGACTTTCGTTCCCCCTGTCAATTGTAGTCAACATTTCTAAAACACTGAATGCTTTTCTGTATGTTATCTCTTAGGTAACCTCTGTGTGTCACGTAGATGAATACATAAGTACAACTGCAGGAAGAGTTGTAGTTCTATTTTTACTATTAGGATTTTCTCCAGTAATATGCATGAAACATTTTCCTATTAACATGAAACACTGAGCTTTAATTTCCCAGGCTAAATGGATGTTAGGAAAAGTAGAGCTCATTATTAACATGAAACATTGAGCTGACTATTCCTTGCTTTAGTTTTCCAGACTACATGGATCTTAGGAAAAGTATTTTCATTTTCATTTCATATTTAAAAAAACCTCTGCAATTGTCTTAAACTGCCATACACCTGAAACCAATTTAATAAAACATCATTTTGAGAATGCAAGGCATATATTTTGAGTTATACATGCCATAGGGTTTGGCAAATTTATTTGCTATGTCACACAATAAAAATCTCCAAGAGATTTAAATATTAACATTTCAGACATAAGCAAGTGGTTAGCTGTTGAGCAAGCATGAATACAATTCTGTGGATTGTTTAACAACTGCTGATTTCTGGGAGTTTTACATTGGTAAACTTTGCTATGGTCCTAAAAGAAAACGCTACGTGTAAGCAAGAATATTGTCTTTGGAACAAGTTATTTAAGTTTTCATTCTGAAAGAAATTTTTAAATCATGTACTTTTCAATTTAAAGCACTTTGGAAAATGGATAATCTCGGGAGAAAAAAGATGATTAGACAGAATTTTATTCACCCTGTTAAAAAGCATTTTAATCTATTCATGATGGGACTTCCCTTTGCAGTTGAAAATAAGGGAGCTACAAGATTACAAAAACTCTTTTAGGTGCGAATGAGTGAGCTTTATTTCATTTAGGTTCATAAAAATGGGTGAAAAGAGTGAATATGGAGAACTTTAATTAGAAACAGTCCATGAAAATTTCTGAGCATTTTGAAAAGCTGTGAAGCTGACTTCTTTAAAATGAGTTGAGTTTGCCAAAATGATAGGGAACACATGTGTCCAGATTCTGTTATGAGAGCTGTGTACATTTCTTGTCACCATCTTCAACATCAGAGTATTTAGGCTAGTGCTTGATGTAAAAAATTATGTTCATGCAATGCAGCAGTTTCTAGATATGCAAGTTACTGTGGAAAACCTCTGTAATTATCCACATCACTCGTTTAAATATGTGAGATATCCTTAGTGATATGTTCACATGGAAAAGTATCTGTTTTCGATATTTTCTCTTTTATAGTAGCACTGAATTTTTACATGAACTTGAATGCTAACTGCACCATTGTGCTGCCTATTTGGGAGACCTGCAGCATTTTAAGAATAAAAGTAATGGATTGTCATGCATACTACGACCTTTGGTATTGGAACTTATATTACCGAATGCATAATGAGTCACAAGCTGGATAAGGCCTCTTGGTTATTTAAACTTGTCACCCCCAAAAATCTGCTTAATACTTTTTTAAGCAATGAATGTGTTTGTTCCTATACATCAGTTTGTCAATTTATTAAATATGAAGTTGTAAAAATGGCAGATCTCCTTTGCAGATGGGGAAAAATGTATACTTTCCAGAGCTTATTCTACAAAAGAAGTCCATTTGTAATAGAGCAATTCTATTACTATTCCATTTTCTCTGCTCCTTTTAAAGTAAACATTGTTAGATAGGTTTTTCACTTTTTTGTTATATATGAAACCTGCCATTTATTAGTAATATAAATGTTTTGGAAAGCATAAAAAATTTCCCCCATCTGACAGCCATCATTTACATCCTAAATGTAAATTAATTTATATTCTAAGAATTCATAGCCACAGAATGAAAGAATAATTGTGAGTGCTGAATATGTGCTTGCTTACCCAAACAGCTCTTTTTATATTTGAAAGGGGAAATGGACAGAATAGCAAACTGATCAAACCAAATTAAATTCAATTATGTCTTTGTAGCAATATACACCAGAGTACATTAGCCAAACCAAAGCAAAGATAAAATGATTGTTGAAAAAATAAGATACTGGTTTGTTGAGTTTATATGTACTTATGAATATTCTTTGCATGTTCTTTTATCTGTTGACTGTGGAACATTCAGTGTATCTTCAAAGATGGAGATATTCACTGTATGGGTAAAGGCACCCCAAATCTAAGCATTGGAGAAGAATATGTACAACATACTCCACGCCTCAGTGGACCAGCCAATCGTGTGTGCTAATGCTTTTTGCATTTACATAATCTCTGTGAATGTAAGCATGTGCAAAAGAAGGTATCATGGCAATAAGGGAAGCAAAGCATGTCAACTTCTCCCTTACTTTGTCAGTGAGCTTTCATCAGCATCCTGATGAAGGGATCAATATAGAAGCTTCCCATTTGATCACTACAACAGGTTTTGCTGATGAAATGATTCCATTTGCCAAAATCTTGACTTCACCTGAGCAGTCTTTGGTGGTAATTAGGGTCCTGATCTATTATGGACTGCTATTGACCCATGAATGGGGTGGATAGGGTGTTGCCTGGGTGGTTCTGTGCTTAGTATCCTGGCAGTTAAAGGGGGCAGGTAGAGAGGTAACATCTTGGGTCTGAGAGATTGTTAGTGCTTCTTTGCAGAGGGCAAGTTACCAATCTTGAAGGAAGCTGTGGTGTACTCCCTTCTGAAATGGCCGTCCTTTGATCCAATTATTTGGTGTCCAGTTTAAACTTTGGGTGCAGATACTGATACTGATAGTGAACCAACTTCAAAACATCCTAGAAGTGGATTATTTAGACCCTTTCCAGTCAGGGATAAGGCCCTGGTATATGAAAGATGGCTTCAATTGCTCTTTTGGATAACCTGTGTCAGGATTTGGGTGGAGCGGTGCACCCACCTAGACCTGCTAGATCTCTTAGCAGCCTTCCACACTATTGTTTGTGATATCTTATTGCACCATTTATAAGCAGATATTATCCATTTATGGGAATCATTGTTTTGCATGGTTCTTCTCCTTGGGCAGATTCAGTCTGTGTGTGTGTGTGAGAGAGAGAGAGAGAGAGAGAGGTTGGTCCAATGACCCCAATATGGGTAATGCTACAGGGGTTGGATGCCCCTCCTATGCTCTTCAAGAGTTACATGGGACCATTGGGGGAAGTGGTTCTGGCAATTTGGGATGTAGCAACAGCAAGCTGTAACTTTGCATTGCCACTTCAAGTTGTATAGTTTGAGAGATGCTTCAATTTTGTATCCTGGTACCTGTATGAAAAGTAACAAGTTTAAGTAGATGAAGCTACTGTTCTTACATCTCTCAATAGCATAGATAGGCAGGCACTATCTATGAAGGAACATGTTCACAATTGGGGGTCCTTTTGGATTCATGGCCTCTGCTTTAACTGTGGATGGAAACTGGCTAGAGGAGCCTTTCCCAGCTTCGACTAATATGTAATTATAACTATCTTTTGCAGAGGACCTGAGTATAGCAATTCATGCCCTCATCACCTGATTAGACTGATATAATATGCTTTACCTGGCTGCCCTTGAAGACCAATTGGAAATTACAGCTGGTTTAGAATACAGTGGCCACTTACCTGTTCTTTGCATAGGAACAAATAATCTTATTATATATTAACATTACTTATATAACATACTTGCATTGTGGGTTACAATTCAGGATGCTGGGATTTGACCGATAAGGTCATTTTTCTTGGTGTCTAGAGGATTATCTGCTCCAACCAGAATTGCTTGACCCAGTAGTCCTTCCAGAGATAAACTAGTCTCTAGTTCCTGAATGACGAAGGCGGCTCAAGCTAGAAAGAACTGTTTCTTCCTGGTGATGCATTTTGGAATAGCCTTCCAACAGAAATTAGGCTATTTGCCTCCTTGCTGACCTAAAAATGTTAAAATTATTTTGGAGAGCTTCTAAATTTATATACTGCAGCGTTGTTTATTTTTTATTACAACTTTTTAGTTGGAGGGTTTTTTTTATTTCATTTTAACCATACCATGGATATTTAGCATGGCATGGATATTGTAATTATTCCTTTGCTATATTCTACCATGTAAGCTGCCAGGAATCACTAGATTGTGGTGGATATAAATTTAATGAATAATGTAAGTGGACAACTGTACTGCCTCAGGGGGCAGACCTACTTCCCTCTTATAAAAATTTTTGAATTTGAATTGGCTGCTATTGCAGAATATGTTTCAAATTTGTGCCAAACACAACGGAGGCAGTATTTTTGTCCTACATTTTTCTTTATGCAAAGAGCACTTCCTGAGTAGCAGGTTGGACTGCTAGTCCTGAAAACATCCTGGTTCGCTGATACTGTAGTTGTAGTAATGATAGTGATCTTCCAGGTGACAAACTGATGACAAACTTAAATGCAAGTTATTCTGTTTTTTAAGGAAGACTAATGAATTGCTTATTCAGGGAACAGGCAAGCTCATGAACATCTCTACTTGTGAACAAGCATCTGGTTTCCCATAGGCATCTACAGGGACACACCAATTGAAAAGTGAACACATGAAACAATTCACAATATTTCTATTGCTAGTGTCTCACAATATACTCCACCAAAAAGTTGGCACTGCTGTAATATAAATTAATGTAACTCTCCTATGGAGACTTTTCCATAAACTGCATAAAGGTGTACAACAAAAAACAACACCCTATCACAGCAGAGAAATCTAACAGGAATTGGAAAGGATATAAAGTAAAAAGATTAAAAATATTTATTATGCATTCTGCTACATGCTATAATTTGCTGTCAAAACACAATCCGCAGATGGAACTTTATTCAGGGACTCATATCCCTCGTCAAGGCAGTAACTGGCAGGCAATTAATAAAATTATTTTCCACTATGCACAAAGCAAAAACAGTGCAATGTATAATTTCAAGTAGTAACTAAACTCGGTGTATTTATCGGGATACTGATCTTGGTCGCTCACTTTCTGTTGCCAAATAGGCCGCCAAGGTCTCCTGAAAATCATGAAGGTAGTTGTACTGCTGTAAAGAAAAAAGGATGCTTCAGAATGATTGAACTTCAATGTTAGGATGACTTAACTTTTTCTAATGATATGGCTTGGAATGAGTGGAGAACCACAGAGAAGAAACATAGAATGGATTCCCATTCTCCAACTCTACCAACTAGACTCTCCTCTCCTCTGAAGGTGTAGATACTGTATTTGTTCTTATAAAAGGACAGGCTTCTACAATGTTTTCCATTAATAACTGAACTGACAGCAGACATTCTCCCTACCTCCCCTGAAAAATCCTTGATTGCAGCAATCTTCACTAGAAAACTCTCTGCCTCTGAGGTGGGGGGGGGGGATACTTCATAGTACTCAACCCCAACATGCACCACTTAAAGCAAGGAGACTCAGCAAATAAGTACAAACTAGTTTCATAGAATGTAGTTGTTATAAGTAGTCCTTGACCTACAATTGAGTCTGCAATTATAGCCCTAAGTGGTACTGATCATTAGGTGGGTCATAATGTGACTGTCCAATTTTACAGTGATCCTTGTAAGCAAATGTGGCAAATGGCCATAAATGCAGACCAGCACCCAAAATGTATCATGTGAATGTAGGGGCAACTGTTGGAACTTCAAATCTGGGTCGTAAGTAGCCCTGGGGAGGTCCACCATCACTTCAGTCAGTTGCTAAGCAACTAGTTGCAAATTGAGGATTACCTTTTCTGTAACCTGTATCTAAACAAGCATTATTATTTATATTTATTAGTAGTATTTCTATATTACTCTACTCCAAAACAGCCCCAACTAGTATCTTTTGGCTGTAAATAAATATAATTCTATAACAATAAAAAGAGGTTACAAATATCAAAAGAGTGACAAAATACAATAGCCCTAATAAGCAGAATTAAATTATGAAAGAATTTTTTTTAAAAAAAGGTTCTCTTCCAGCTCTTCCCCAATACTCAGTAAAGAGGATATGGTTCTAATATGTGGGGTAAGCAGTTCTCCAGAAGAGGGGCCACCATAGAGATGATACTCGATTTCCATAACTTGCTGATTTATAAACTACTCAATTCCTTTTAACATGGATGAACATGTGTTGTGTAAACCCAGCTATACATAACAAGGAAAGCTAAATAATTTTTGGTTAAGTATTTAGCTTAAAAGTAGCCTAATGCAGAAAGAAGCAATGTAATTTACACAATTTGTTAAACAATAAGGGCAGGCCTATATGGACAGGAAAAAATGAATCCTAGCCAAGATAAAAATGCTTCAGTGTACCACTTGGTGAGAAATGCCTAACTGCGTTCATATGTACAGGAGAGCAGAAGCTGATGCTGGACCGGCTTGATACGAGACAACAGGAGACGACACTGGCAGAGCCTGGAAAAACCAATAAACCTGAGTGCTGCTAGTTAGCTGGTATAAAGCTAGTCCACCCCAGGGGTGCACCATAGATAGGTGTGCAAGCGCCAAACAGAATGAACTAGCAACCTAGGATTCAGGACTGCGCTGTGTGTAGCATTTGTAGATTTCACTGACATTGTATGCCATATGCTAAGTAAATAATTAATATTTAAATAAATGTATAAAAGAATAAAAGGTTTAACAATATCAAGGGGAATCCAGCAGCAGCCATGGATGTGGTCTATGGCCTGAGGGCAAATAGGGTGTATTTAATCGAGAGAAGACTTAGTAGCAAGCAAAATGTGGCAGTTGAGTATCCTACAAAGTTTTGGGAAATATGGAGGGGTGCAGAAATAATGTAAACAAATTAAGCATCTTTTAAGTTCTATTTCCTCCTTGGCAGGTCTAACCTTTAAAGTTTGTATTGCACCTGAACCTCTCAACTCCCTCATGCAGTCTATTGCCTGTTGCGGAGTTATGTTGTCAGATACCTGGAGGAGAAGGCAAGCCGCTACTGTAAGAAAACCATAGAATGACCTAAGTGAACAAGACATTTTTGGTAAGGAGGAGCAATCTGTTTTAAAGGTAAACAAGGTAACAGAACATTAAGATTCTCATGCTTATTCATGAATTCTCAGCTTTTCACATGTCAGCTATTTTGGAAAATATCAATGAAAGCATTTATGCAGGTTAGGCCTGTTAAATGCAGGAACACCTGAGCCTGAAACACAAATTCAAAACCTTTGTGTTTATAGTTTAATAAATAGGGATTTATAGAAGCAGGGCCAGCTAGATTTAGACAGCACAGCTTCCATGTAAGCAGGGAGAGATATTAAAAAAACAAAGATCGCATTCACAATCACGCCACACAATTCAAGCCCAATCCTGAAAGCTGTGACCCTCCTGATTATTTTTTTTACTACCCTACTTGTCAGATCAACTCTTAGGAGGATTGTGGGGAGAATTACTTGCATTTCTTCCCTTGATTATATTTGTTATTGAAAATACGGTAAAAGCTATAAAATGGAGATTTGCTAGACCACTAGAGAGAACAAGAGTAAATTAGAGGTCAGCATAGAAATAACATACTTAATGGTTTTCCTATATTACAGCACACTCAAGAGATTCTTGGAAATCATGATGTGAGATGCTGGCTTTATTACATGTCATCGTGCTGTAAAATGCTTTTTACATGATTTTTTTTTAAAAAAAGTACTCAGGTGGTCCAAAGTGTCTGCTGTCCCATTATTGCTCATGGTTATCATGATAGGGCTTCAGCTTCTCTCTTGAAATTTTTGCTACAATACAAGTGGGAATCATTTAGGCTTTAGAGCTTCACAGTATTGGCCAAGTAGAGCATTATATCAAACAATCCCTGATATGACACAGATAATATGCATTTACTTTTTTTTTCCAGTTTGTATGTTTATTGTATTCTAGCTTCTCATGACCAGCTTTTTTTTTTAAAAAAAGATAGCTCTTACAGTTTATACAAAACTATGTGTTTATCTCCTTCAAACTTAAAAATTAAAAAGTCAATATAAGCCTACTGTTGGCTGTGAGAGATTTAAGAGAGCTTTTGGTCTGTGTGTATTGCAGAGGATATTTTGCCTGGTATGAAGAAAATAGTTCTGTAATTGGCTGTAGAATATTACCAATAATATTTTAAAAAGCAATACTTTGTCATTTTTTTTAAACAGAGCACTTCCACTTACTGAGACAGGATCGTCCAAGTCCTCCATAACAACTAAAAGAAATTTTAAAAAGGAATATATTGCAATAGCTGTAAACATGACAATCTCCATAACCAAGATAGTTTTTTTAAAATCTGCTGTGATTCTTCAAATATAGAGGTTTTCAGTTGGATCTATTATTCCAAAGTCTAACTTAAAAACAATGCTTTTTTTCCCTAGGGCTATTGATACTTGTGCTTATCAGCTTTCTCAGCTGTGATCACATATTCTAGAGTAGTATTTTTTATGGTAGTGAAATTGTCAAAGGAGTCTGAACTGATCATTCTACTCTTCAATGCAACTTTGAAGTTCCATAGAAAGCAGAAAAACGTATCTTTGATCTATAGTTTGGAATGATACAGCAGAAGCTGACTGCAGCAAATAGAAGTCAAATTTTGGCAGAGGTGGCAGATGAACACTTAGTGACTGAATCACTTTCATTTACTTAGAGGGTAAATGAATAGAATATCAGAACTCAACTGTATTGTGGCTTTTCGTTTACTTTCAAGGCAATTCCTCAGTTCATTTAGAATAACACAGCATCTGGCAATATCTGGTGTACCTCCATCAGGAATAGGATGGTGATGCACAGTGATCCCATAATTCTGGTATGTCTCCATTAGGTGTGGGACACGGTACTTTGTGAGTTCTCCTTTGGTACAGAGTACAAATACATCGAGCACCCCATCACTTTTTAGTTCATCTATAAAAAGCAACATATATGCTAAAGTGTTAAATACAATCTGAATCCATACATATTCATGATATTGAGGGAATTGATTGCAAAACTAGTTAGAAAAATATAATTTGCAGACTTTTCTAAGTAGCTTTGCCTTCAAGTATGTGTACCATTGTCTGCTAGGCAAATAAAAGATGTCAGATTTAAGCCTACCTAATTTTAGCAGTATTAAATACAGGAACGGTTGTGAAATCTGCTATTTTGTTATTTCATTCTGTTAGCAAATACAAGAGGTTTCAAGAAGGACAACAATATTTACAGAGTACATGGTATTCAGATTATTGGATTAAAAATAGTGTTAATAAAAATGTCCCTTTCAGAAAAAACATCTTCAAATGCTTAAATTTTTAAAAAGTACTTTTTCCATGTAGAACACTTATTTAACAAGCTTATATTTTACTAAAGCTCATACCTTAACTAAGATTGCAGTATGCATATGCCCATGCATTATGTTTTGCTTTTGAGGTTTTTTTTTCCAGTTGCCCATCATCAGATGTTAATTAGTTGGTTAACAGAGAAAAACTCCATACTAGAATTCCAGTTGTGGAATGTTTTTCACCTGGTATCTAGTCTACTTTCATGTGCAACTATAAATATTGTTATGCCATATCTTAATGCAATTGCTTTGCAGAGTTCTCTGTTCCTTATTTTTGTGTTTCTTACAAGTGTTATAGATTTGTGAGATACAGGTCTTTTAACACAAATAAATGGTTAACTGCAGTTCCAAGGAATTAAAACTAGATTTATGAAAAATAAGCTACTGAAGGACATACCTCTGTGTCACTGATAATTACCTATATCTTTCTGAAGGTTTCTTTTAATATTTTTGAATCGACAACCTAAATCAAGTACGAAAGATGAAAAGAAACGAACAATGCTATTACAACAGATATTTAAAATACTCATAGATTTATTCTTAGCCACTTCTATGTACTTACCTGGTAGTGAACTGATTCCTAGGAATTGGGAATAAGCTGGTGATAAGGGTAACCTATAGGAAGAATGCACAAAACCCAATAGCAGTTAAGTTTTTACAAATTGCCATTTTTATCTACTGCATTTACTCTCAAGACATACAACTAAACCCTAGCAAAGTGAAGTGGTTTATAAATTGGGATCTTCCCTGCCTCATATTTTATATTTGAATATTGAATATAATCTGAAAAACCCAGGATAAGAAGCAATGGGTGGAAACTCCTTAAGCCAAAGAGAGATCCAATCTGCAACTAAGGAGAAATTTCCTGACAATAATAACAATCCATGGAAGAGCTTGCTTCCCTGAGCTGTTAGTGCTCCAGCATTGGAGTTCTTTAGGAAAAGATGGACAGCCATTTGTCTGAATAAGGCCTCTTGCCTTGAGCAGAGGGTTGGACCAGAAGGTTCCTTCCAACCCTATAATTCTATGAATGGGGTTTCAATGTCTATTAAGGAGCATCTTTCTAGATTCAGGGGTTTTGCCGGGTCAGTAAGTGGAGGCTGTGGTTTTGCTGAAGCTTTGGCAGTTTGTGACTTCACTTGGGATGAGAGGACCTGATTACAGTGGCTCAGATCTCCATTATCATTTGACTAAGCAACTGTAACAGAGCTTCAACAAGTGCAAAATGCAAGGGCCTGGGTGCTTCCACAAGTCTTTAACTTGCCAAGTTTGAAGACCTTTGCTCTACTTTATCAATCTTTACATGTAACACTGAATATATAGAAGGGGAGGGATATTATATTGATTCAAATGGAAAAATTAGAACAAATACTAGACCTATAGAAGACCTTGACTGATCACCTCATTCTACTTTCCAAAATTTTGGGATGAGATCTAGGTATAGCCAGCTCTAAGTTCATTGCCACACTTACAATCGGTATTCCTAATCACACTACAGGTACAGAGTTTAAATAAAAGTAGGACCACGAGAGATATGTACAAAAATGTTTAAAAACAAAAAAATAAAAAGTGTTTAATGATTCCTTCTATATGTTTAGTCAATTTATAAAAAAAGACAGAAGAAGGTTATATTATTACTTTGACTTCTTGAAAAGAAGCAAAATGATTATTATAGCGTTCGGAAGAGATACTGTCATTTAATGAGATGGTGAAAAATTAAAATAGAATAAATTAAAAATGTCAATATGTTAATCAGATATGGAAGTATATTGAAGTTGTTCCAAAAATTTTTAAAGGTAGTTTTTGCTCCACCACCTTTAGTCTTACCAGGATACTTGAAAGGGTGTCTGTTCTTCCTCCAGGGGCTCCTCATCTGATGAATCAAACTGGTTTACCTGCATTGCACACATCTCAAGGAAATATTGCAAGAAAATATTTTCATACCATAAACACACTTACTGCATGAGTTATTATAGGATAACCACATTAATTTCCCTTTCCACACATAAGAATTTAATACCTTAAAATCCTTACAATTGCCCACAAATAACTGAATTAGGACTGGTACATGTTTAGATTGTTTAAATGCTTATGCTCCTAAAATTTTGATTTCATCTAACTTTTCAAATTAAATGAGAACAGGAAAAGAGGGATATGCAGTTTGGAAGGTAGAAATTACGATTAGAAGGGAAGAGTTAGTTGTAGATCACCTGGGGATCTTTGGCTACAGTGGTAAAAAGGAGTGTCAAAGATTAGGATAGAGATACTGAGTTATGAGAAAAATAAAAAAACAATGCTGAGACTTTGATGGCCAAAGAAAGAAATATGCATTAGGTCCAGAAACCACTAAAACCAGCTTAGAGGAACAAAGATAAGGTGTCATTAAAGGATATTTGTGTGAATAAAAGTTATAGGATTGCCTTGGAAATTATTTTTGGTTCATTATTTTTGAAAAAGCAATAGGGCGTTAAAGAACTCTAAATGATTTGTTAGAATTAGTTATGAGAATATAGCAGATGGGAGAAGGAAATAAATATAGTAACTTTAGATAAAATAATTTTTAGGAGAAATATGAACTATTTAATTAGGTCTTTGCTGTGTGCATCATATTTAATTCCTTACAATTTATATTTTAAGCCACCCAGATTTGTTGGATAAAAGATGGGTTGCAAATAATTTAATAAATCCCAGAAAGCTGCTCCTGATCATGCAAAGCTGCCACCATGACACCTGCTTACAATTCTTTAAAGCTTTTCCCTGGAATTACACACCATCCGGAAAAAGCACATTTCTTGCTCCAAAGCACATTTATGGAATCAAATCTAAATACTATGCAACTCAAATTATTACCAATTAGCTACCCTGGGAATATCACTTATAACTTCCTATATTATCCTTTTTCAACTAAAGGAGCATTAGAAATAGCAAATCTCACATGACTCTGGGCAGCTAATAGACACAAAGTGCAAAATTAACTACAATCATAACAGACACAGTTAAAACCAATTACCATTATTAGAAACCATAGTCTGCTGATAACAAAATGGTGTGATAAAGAGATGTTTATGATAGAATGTCTCTAAAGGACACTGGTAGCACCTTTTCTGACCAGCACATTTTTATGTGGCATACATTTTCAGGTAGCTCACGTCATCAGATGCTGTAAGGCGTTAAAACGGGTTAGTCTATTGTTGGCAAGTTCACCAACTTTACTCCTGCACCAGAGGGCAGGACAAGAAAAAAAAAGGATGGAAACTAATCAAGGAGAGAAGCAACCTGGAATTAAGGAGCAACTTCCTAAGTGAGGACAATTAACCAGTGGCACAGATTGCCTTCAGACGCTGTGGGTACTTCATCACTGGAGGTTTTTAAAGAAGAGACTTGTATGAAATGGTATAGGTTCTCCTGCTGGGGAGAACCTATACGGTTCTGAGCAGGGGGCTGGACTAGAAGACCTCCAAAGACCCTGCCAGCTGTATTCTGATTCACGTGCTGATCTGAACAGATGCTCCCAGAAATCGGATTTTTTTCCTATTTGTTTGCGGCTTCACGTATAAAAAGATATGCCAAGCTTTAATCCTAACTGGGGCACTGACATGGATGAGACTACCCATTCACCAGCGAACAACTTCTATTCTTCTAGTTGATTCTTATGCGGCGCCTCTGTGATGAGGGCAGCCATAGGCAAATTCCTCCCGGCTTCGTTTCTCCTCTCATGGAACGTCAGTGCTAGCCGGGAGCATTAATCCACCAATGGTATTCCCTAATCTGTGATGGAGGCGGGGTTAGGCAACTGGGGGCGGCGCCTCAGAAGCAGCGGTAAATCTGCCTTCGCGCGGAAACCGCTCGGGACTTCTCCTCAGGAACCCGAATCGTTTCAAATAATTGGCCCAAATTGATAAACGTTAGCCATAGTTGTCCCAAAGATGCTTTTTCAAGAGGCAACTGAACTTTTTGGTCCAATTCACCAGAAAGTCCAGTTGCCTCTTGAAAAAGCACCTTTGGGACAACCATGCCCTGGATGACTGAGAATCTCCCTAGACAGTTAAACATAGTTTCTTTGCTAATTTGGCTTCCTTGCATGTTTTTTTCTTTTCGTCCATTAACAAAGATTTTTTAAATAGTTTTAAAGAAACCCTCTAGTCTAAAGCCAATAAAACAGAAGGAACAGTATTTAAAGTATAACGTTTGCCCACCGTGGGCGAAGAAAACTCAGAACAAACTCGGGCCCCCGGCAATGGCAAAAAGCTCAAGGAGAGGCGGGGAAAACGACGGGTTTTTGCTCCAAAATGCAGAAAATAACGCCAAATAGAAGCCCCCCCCGCTGTGTTGCTAAGATACCCCCTACCTCAGAGATGCGGATTCCCGCCAAAAAGCCGCAACTCCCCCCCGCCCACCAACCGTTTTAAAAAGCTGGTACTCCACCCCTCGCGAAAACTTCCCCAATCTGGCCAATCAACCAGCAGGTAAAAAACAAATTTACCGCCCAAATTCCTTAACTTGAAAGGACAATTCTTATTGGATGATAACTTTTGAGAGTCGGAATACCGTATAATAAGGGCGCTTTAAAGATATTGATGAGAAGCTGAAGTTCTTTTCGGTTAGACGTCAGGAACGCGCAGCGCCAACTCGAAGGATTTTCTTTGAAGAAAATGTGTGTAGAGTCAGTCAGGAGATAAATTTTCCTAAAAAGCAGGAAGTAGTTCAGTATTTAAAATCTGCTTCTGGTGAAGGATTTTGTCAAGAGACGGGTAGTTTTTTAAAATGCCAATTTTGAATAGCAAAGATATGATAGTTAAGTAGGATTGTACCTCCAAACAAAAATATTTGAGGCAAAGCTGAAGATAATTTAGAAACAGCATCTTTGAAACTTGGCAACTTTAAGATGATGGGTCTAGAAATGGTTAAGGCACCAGCAAGGCTTGAGTTGTTTAGTTTATTGCCATTGTACCTTTACAACAAAATTAAATGCCATCTTCAATATTCTAATTGCATTTTAGACCTTAAAGCCCCCTGGGTGTCCTTGGGTCACTCTCTCTAGCCTAGCTTAGTCCAATATTTATATTTATAAATACAATAAAACTGGGATTTAAAAAACATCTAAAGAGTGATGCGTGAATTTCAGATTCCAGAATATACCAAGAAGGCATAACTTTAAAAGCTGCTTATTCCTAAAAAAGACGATATTCTTTTTTTTTCAGCACTACAAATGTATTTCAGACTTGGCAACAATATTCTGGAAGTTGAAATTTGCATATCTTAAAGATGAGACTATATCAAGGGTGCCTTAAAGATCTATGTACCATATGTATTGTGTGAAATGGCATCCAAGCATGTTGGCTATGATTCTGCTGATCCCCAGCCTGTGGTGACTTGCGTTTCCCAAGCAGACAAGATAACAGTAACCCTTTTCCATTTTTTTGATATCTAGCGGTCCTGATTAAAATTTTCAGATGAATCCCATAAGATGTTATATTTCCTCCTCTTCTAGAAAATAAAATAAGCCCTGATTGTTTTCCTTGGAAGAGAAGCCATGTGAAGAGCAGCTGTGAGTGCATTGCATTGTATTTTTTGTTTCCAATGGCTCTAAATTGCTATCTTAAGTGTAAGAACAATATAATTTCTTCCCTGTAAAATGTCAGTGTAATCCATTTGGTATCAGAAAATGTATTTAATAAACAAAGGTATGTTTCTGAACATATTGTGAATATATTAAGCTAGGTTAAATACGGAAACTGAAAGCACCATATTTTCATATAAATCAAGCAAGTTAAGTGAAACTTAACTTCCAGTAAATGGGTAAAGGATTGTTAACTTCCTTTTAGTATGTTTATCACTAAATTTTATTATAGTACATAAATGCAAACATTGCAGCATCAATACATGCACACAGATACGAAGATACATCTATAAATACATATACAGTGATATTTTTATTAATCATACTATTTTTGTGACTCCTGCTTCATTAAGAGCATTTGGGCCTAATGCTTCTGCAACTGTAGAGGGCACTCTTGCTTTATGAATGTAAGTACTTTAAAAACATTTAAAAGTTGGTACTATTATACAGAAAAATAAGATATTCAGATTATCACAAACCATTGACTATGTCAGGTCTTTCGTATGATTTAGCATGGAACTTTTGATGTGCTTATCAACTTTGTTTTGAGAATGTAAAAACTGGAATAATTCATTTTGTTTTATGTATGTTAAACTGTTTATTTTTTAAAACAACCATTAAAATAAATCATATGTTGGGTTAAAAAGAAATTGTATTAAAGCAAAAACATAAAACATTTAAAATATATCTGAAGAAATAGTTTCTGAATTTTTCACTTTTGTTTGTAAAACTGCCTTTATATTTTGAACATATTCTATATTATTGATTTTATTCAAGTTTCTTTCAGCTATGTATACATGTCTTGCTCCTGGTTAAATAATTCCAAGCATTTAAGGTATATTTTCTTTCTGAAAAGCAGCGGCACTTTTATTTAATGGTGGTCAGAATTACTTGTTTCGTCCATTTCTGTTCATCTATAATTCTCCATTTCTTACCCAAGATGCACCTATCTTCATACTGCAACTTTCCGATGCCCATAGTTTGTTTTGAGCATTCTTCATGAAATGCACAGGAAATATTAGAATCTGGTATTATAATTAAAAATGGTCCCTGTAATATTGTGCTAGCATATATGAAAACAACAATTGTGATTTCTTAAAGATGACAGAACAATTAAGCTTAGAACTGAAAAGGAAGATATCAAAGGGATGAATGGCTTCTGCCTTTTAAAATCAACCATCAGATGTAAAGGAACAAAGCAGTCAAGAAATATGCTGCCGACTAGCACTTGATAGAGCAGCCATGAAGGCCTTTGATATTCAAATTTGTGATGTGTCTATACACTATCTATAAAGGATCAGAATTGTGCTAGCCATCTTGACTTGTTTTGAATCTAATCTTCCTGGAATCAGATTTAAGCAAGTAAGGCCTTGAGAGATTTTAATTTAGCTGAAAGTATATGTGAACAGTCTAGCTATTGAACAATCTTAATGCAAAAGTTAACCTGTAATGAAAAGGGACTTTTGCCATAGTATATATAGCAAGACTAACTTTTTTCCTCCAGTCTTAACAGAATAACAGTTGGAAGGGATCTTGGAAGTTTTCTAGTCTAACCCCTTTGCTCAAG